GTGAATTTTCCATTTTTGCTGTAATTAAAATAATCACGAATCGACTGGATGAAATTCATGCTGCATCTACTCTCATAGATGAAATTTTTGTCTTCTTTAAAATATTCGAAGAAATTTCTAGTGGAAATTTTTCTAGTATAAATGGAAACTAGACTTTTGGCATTTTCGACTTCTTTTGAACAATCTTTCGATATGTATATAATTTTAATTTTGTGCTGGAACTTTGACTACTTTGGGCTATCAGTTTATGATGTTATTTTGTGTTTATTATGTTAAAAAATTGTATATTACGTGTTCTATATTTTCGAAAATCCCTGTGCTCGTATTTTTCTCACGTTCACGTGTCGCCAGCTCGATATTTTTACCTGCTGCTCAATATACATGATTACCTTATGGACTTGTGACTTTTATGAAATTTTCTCTACGGACTTTTGCTTAAACCTTAGAACTTTTATTTTGTAGTTATGTTGATACATTCGAAATAGTTTATTTTTCGAGGGAGGTAAGGTCATTGCTCCTAGGTACTCCGGTGATGCACCATTCTACTCATGAGATAATTTCATGACCTACGTGTCTCATCCACTGTCTGGTGAGAACACAATCATTTCCACCAAACGCAGCCGGCACTAGACATTTAGTCACCTGGTGCAGCCTTTGATAATCCTAAACTCTGCTGCCCGGTGCATTACTAAATTGTAAAACTTTGGCCACCCCTATATACTGCTGCCCAGTATTTCCCCTAAATTTAAAATTTTTGCCACCTAATGCCTTCGCTCTGGTTGCACAATCCTGATATTAAGTCCTGCTTTTTGATATATCCAACTTTGATACCTCCATACAGTTTTCATTTCATCTCCTTTGTTCTACATCGCCTAACGCTAGAAGTGCTATTGATAAAACCCGAAACCAGTGCTGAGACAACCGGCTACACTACTACTATACCAACAGGGCAGTTACTACCAGTATAGGTATTATCGTTTAGTAACTTTGTGAAGGATTTTTAGGAAAAACTGACTCATATTCACGTTACACATGTAGAAAATAACCGTATAACTAGCATGCCTGAAGGGATTCGAACTTGGTTCGAATTATTAGTGTTCAATAGTGCTGACCACTTGGCCTTGGTGGGCCACCTTCGTTACTGAACTCCATACTTCAGAATAATAATTCAAAAATCTTTATTTAACTTTTTTTTAAATTTAACTCAGTTCCTATATGTCTAAAACAACATAAAAAGTTCTACACAGTGTTTGCAAAAAGTGATCATACTTTTTATTTCCTTAAATACTGAAGAGTAGTAGTATTAGCATTAGAGAATTTTCTGAAAATAGTTTCTGCTCACTCAAGAGCTCAACTATTAAGGCAGAGTACCTTTTAAGGGAAACTGAATCCCATTCACATCAAATCCCACAAAAATACCAATGCAATCTGCCTATTCACCAACGTTTGAACCTTTGAAACCATCAGTGTTCAGCAGTTTATTCATTTCATCATTGGCAGGCTTTCTGCACTGAAGGTAGGAGGTTCTAAGACTTAAAAATTTAACTCTCTTATATAAATCTGACATAGTAAAAAAGGTTCGATTAATAACATATTCAATATTCTTTACTAAATTAGCACACTTAAGTAATAGCAAACTTAAACATAATACAGGTCAGAAAGTTTATTCTCTAATATTTATATGAATTTTGCACATAAAGACATGAACCTATTTATACTTAAATTCCTTACAACATGGATAATATATTATCAATTAAACCAGTTAATAGAAGATTGTAAGAATTTAGATTTTATTCTAAATCTTTATTATTGGGAATGGGAGCCTCCCCTTCCATTTCCAATGATGGACTGTTTTATAAGATATTCCATTTTATTGTGAATACTTTGCAACTGAGAGTCTACATGAGTATTTTCTTGAAACATGAAGAATGTTTAATTAAATGTATTAAATCTCTATATCAGAATATTTTTAGTTAGTTTTCAGTTATACTGAATACAGAAAGATATGTATTAAGTCTCTAAATGAAACTAATTTCAGAATATTTTTAGTTAGTTTTCAGTTATACTAAATAAAGAAAGTTAATTCTTTAAATTAACTCTGGCACTAATATTGAATGCAGGTCAACAGTCTGAGTGTGCTTTGTCATAATCAAATAATCCAATCCAAGTCTGATATGAAATGAATCTTTGCTGAGATCACTAGACACAATGTATTTGCATGACAAAATAAAAATAGATTAAATCGCCTTTATTTATTTATTTTAAATGCTATTCAATCAAATGTTCATGCATTATATAAAAATTTAAACAATTTATTTTTGTTAATTTAATAATGATTTTCTTCCTTAATACAGTTTCTAATTTTCTTTCTTCAAACTTTAGGCTTACTAAAACATAAATTAGAATTATTCCTGCTGCTTCATACATTAATTAAGGTTTTCTTACTTTGCTTTGTTGCCTTAAATAAGGTTCTCTTGCTTTGAATTTTTTTTTTCTTTTGGGGGAATGCTACAAAATGTTTTGTTTTGTAAAATATTTAACCAATTTTACTCAAGTAATAATATTAATTTTTGTCATGCATTTTTCTTTTACCCAATCTTTAGGATATTGGCTGAACAGTTTAAAAAATAATAACTGGAAGAAATAAAAAAAAAAAAATTATTATTAACCGCTTCATTATTTTTGCTACATTATTTAAACAAAAGATGAAAACTTAAAAGTGAAATTTTGAAGATTACTTTATGCACAAGACAACTGAAAATAACATATGTGTACAAATCATTAGACTAAAGAAACTAATTATGATTTAAAAAATTATAAATAATATTACTACTATTATTTTTATATTTTTAAATCCATAATTATTCGAACATATACATTCTTTTGCTATATTTCTGAATTTCATTATGGAAACATTTAACTAATAGTTTACTTTATAGGCAATATTTTTCACTCTACATTGCACTCTTTTCATTATATATATTTATATTTTTCTTCGAAGTTAGTTGTGTTAGAAATCTGATACACTTTATTTTATCCACATACATTTTCTCTAAATTTTGGTAACCTTTTAACTTAATTTTATTTATTTCTTATGTAAATTTCAATGGGTGGTAAAACCGACCTTAATTCTTTCTAACTGCATTTGCTCAATAACCAGCAGTAAATGAAAAAAGTATAATTAACGAAAATTTTAGGAAAAATTCACTATTAGTCAAGCACCTAACTTTGCTCAAGAAGGAGATTATGGCCAAACCCAAAAAAGAAAATGTAGCAGGAGAAAAAAAAAAAAAAAAAATTGCAAAGGACATAAGGAAATTTGATGATAATATTCTTTCTAAACAGAGAAGTAACTTCAATAGTTTAAAAAATAATTACATTCTGCATTAAGACACAATAACACGCCGAATAAATACTAATTCAGAAGTCAAACAACAAAAAAGCTGGATTGAAAAGCTTAAGGAATTGGGATATCAGAAAACTTTCAGTATGTAAAACATTCACAGATATTTTACTGTACCTGAATGATTATTAATCAGCATAATTTTGTTGTCTTTACCTTTAGTTTTATTTAAAATTTGATTTTTTCAAGATGTCTAGGGCTTAAATTCTGACAAAGCCCAACTTCAGTAACTTCTCAGTTTTCCAATCAAATTGTAATTCCAGACAGAGTCTCAAATAAGATGAGCTCTTGCTGCTATTTTATTTTATTACTTAACTAATTGCCATTAATTCAACTTTTTTAAAATTTATATATTTTGCCCAACTTGAATTATTAATTATTTTATTCATTTGTTTATATTCACTTTTTTTGACAACTTTCTATAGAGCTCTGGCACTTCAAATTTTAGAAATTAAGCTCAGAGCATATCAGTATGTTTTTGTAATAAAAAGGTCACACATATATGTTTAACTACTTTTAGGTATATTTTAGCAACCAACTCATCTTCATCTGAGTTTAATGAAGAAAACAACATGTTTGTTAAGTTACCAGAAGACATCTCTTATGGCATTGACTATAAACCATCTGATGTTAATAATGTTCTGGATTGAGAAGAATACTAAAGGTCTAAGATTACATACTACAGATGGAAATCTAAGATAAAACCAACATGTCAGTGTCTTAAAAACATGACTCATGGCTGAAATATAAAATTGGTGTTTTGTATTTTGGTAGTAGGTTCTGTTGTGGCACTATTATTCATGAAAAGAAAAAAAAAAAAAAAAATGTCTTCTCATGCATAATAGTTTACCATGCAACAAACAAAAAATTTTTCTCATTTTTTAGCTAAAAACAATGCAAAAGTATTGTTTTGACCAAGAAACATTCAGATATGAATTCAGTCAAAAATCTACATTTAAGGGGAAAAAAGAGAGGAAGAAAAAATTTAAAACAAATTAAGGTAACTAATCGAACGGAGTCCATCTAGAGCATTCTTCAAGTATGGCATCAGGGCATGGGTAGTAAAAAATTACAAATTCTTAATTGAATGGATGCCTAGATATCATATTTTTCAAGTTTTTATATTAACTATTCAAATATTGTTATTATATTGAAACATTTGCATCTTATGCACTAAATCCAACACTTATGAAAAACTGAGTCTAACAACTTGTCCCCTACTGTAATATTATAGTTACAAATTATACCCCCCACCCCCAAAACATTGTCTTTTTTACAAAATTGACCATGAAATAGCTTATGCGAACAAAATTACAAATTCATAATTAAACCCCCATTTAATTCATACAATAGGTTCTGCTGGAAAAGAGAAAATACCAAGAAGTAGTTTTTAAATAAAGCAATTTTTCCACAATGTAAACAATCCTTAAGAAAAATTTTAAAAAATAAAAATTAGTTGATTATGAAATGAAAAAAATTCTTCCTCAGTTTTTTTCTACATGCATCTCTCATGCCATCCTTATAAATAACAATCTGCTTCAACTGAAGTGATACAGTGGATCATGAAGTAAAGGCATTACAATAAATGTGAACACAATCACGAATGGAACATTTAGTTTATTCATAAATATCAATAAGATTAATACATAAAATATTACAGAAAGACTGCAATACCGAATATCTCCTGAATAAGTGACAAGGCAGTTTATACAATCAATCAAATAAGATAAACTGTCACATTTTTAACAATTTCAATAAAATTTTAGTTAAGTGACCCATTCTGAAAATCAGTTTAAAAATTAAAATTTTTAATCCATACCCTCAAGCATCTGTAAAAACTATGCCCCTTTTATCTAACATAAAAGGTGTCATGAAAAGTCTATATAAAAATCTATACTAAGATATTATTTACAAGGTATTTAACTTTTTAATGCAATTTAAATCACGTGATAAATGTTTTCAGTTGTTAGCATTTAAATACACAGAATAAGAGAAGATATGAGTACTTATTGGGAATCCTGGATTAAGTTTTCTAGTGATAATGTTTTGGGCATCAAGACTCTTCTGGGGATTGCTATCAGAGCTAAAAACTTATAAAATACATATGAGTTACCAGAAAATCTTAAGCAACATTTTTGGTAACTCTTATCTGTTTTAGATATCTAATTTCAATGTAATTATTCTTATAACAGTAAAGATAAATAGTTCTAGAGATAAACAGTGAAAAGTACCAAATTATTCTTAGTGCCAAAATCTATTTTAAAAAATGCCGAGCCTGTTAATTATCAGAACAACACTTTCACATAATTAGTAACGCTTTCACATAATTAGTAAACTGGATGCTTTTGTTAGTCAAAGTTTTAAAAGTGGTATCAAACACAGATGCTACAAAAAAGTCCACATCAGTTAACTCAGATCTTAAACTGGAATTACAAGCTTATTCAAAATACATGAAAAGCAATCTCTGATGCCCCTTATATAGTATACACTAACAATACCCACATGAATAACTGATAATCATCAACAGGTATTACAAGAAAAAACCGAATTCAGATGCATATAACATAGTTTGTATAAATGCCATCTAACAAACTTACTGAATTCACCACCCAGAGAGTATAGTGGTTAGGGGAGGCGACTGTGATACCAAAAAGCTTGGGTTCGAGTCCCGGAGAAGCCATGGATTTGCTCCCTCATAGGAAGAAATAGTGACTGCCTATTAGGTACTCCCATAATAAAATGACCACCACTTTTGGCCTTAGTAGTGGCAAAAGACTAAAAATAGCTAGTGCCCACCGTAGGGGGGGAACTTATTGAATTCAATGATTTCATTATAACTGATCTAATAAAATTATTATTCATTTCACAAAAACTTTGTAATATTTTTGTCAAATACTCATGTTTAATTACATTTTCAAAACATCATTAGGGTTACTATCAATATTTCAAGCTATAATTCTCACCAGCATTTATGCTTCGTGACAAGTGCTTTCTCATTACTTGAAGTAGGATAATGCATGCTTAAATATAATAAAAAATCAATGCTCTTTAAAATATCTATTACCTCAACTGCCTTTTTTTAAATTTAAATCCTCTATGCACAGAGATTAAAAAATTCTTTTATGAAATTTAAATACTTATAGCATAAAACAGCATTTCTTATTACCCACATCCCCACTTAGAAGCCAAAAAAAGTACTGACAAGGCAATGCACCATGCTGCTAAAAAGTATTTATATGTCAACCCAGGTATGCATAACAGGTATCCCTGTACATTTTTGCCAGACTGCAGATTATGATAATTATGAGATTTTTCAGGATTTTAACACAACGGTACATTGCATATTGCAGTATTCATCCTCTTCAGCAAAAGCTTGGACTTAGCTTTCTGTGTGCATAGATCATATCTCATTCAAAGACATCATGCACCTCTTTTTTACTTCTTATTTTAGGATTTCGGTGCCGACATTGTACAATTCTCCAATGATTTTTTAGCAATAACAGTTCATTGTATACATGGAAAGAACAGACACACACACACACGAAAAAAAAAAAAAAAGAAAGAAAGAAAGAAAGAAAAAGAAACATGCGTGTCTTGTGTGGAAAAAAACAAGTAGTACAAAAACTGATAACACTAGATGCATTATTGAGAGACTTACAAATGTTTCTTTCCAAAGTCACCAACCAGTTCGTGACTTTTTAATACAGATGTAGGTAACCAGAATGTACTATACAATTTCACCAAAGCCTCATTTATTACATCAAGGGTTCTCAATTGTGAAGATTGCTTGAAGGGGGCAAATTTCTCAGTCCTGAAAGGAAATTTTTCGACCTTAAATTGAAGACCTAAATTCTAGTATAGCACAATAATTTATGGCATGGTTGAAAAGGTATGCCCCCAAACCTGGAAAACCTCAAATCTCATAAGTGCAGTAAAATATTTGGCTCTATTCTTATACGCACCCTAAGATCACCAAATGTGACGATATGTGTTCTGTGCTGGTTTTTGGCAAGATTGCATGTTGTATGGCAACCCTTTTGACGTTGAATACTCTTTTGCTGGAGTGTTTTAATTGTTTGTTGGTTCATGTCGTGTGTGTTTTAAAATGGCCTATGTTGCAATGAGAGATGTGGTTGCAAGAGGGTCTGGGTTGCTGTGCATGATAGAAGTAAGGAAATGCCGATGCAGTATATTAGAGTGGATTGAGCCTTGTACTACTATTTTTCGGATGGCTGGAAATCTTAAAAGGTGTTGGTGTACTTAATTATGACAAAGCACACTAGGGCTATCTGCCTAAGGGGAGGGATGCCTTCGTGGAGGACTTTCTAAGGGAAACCGGCTCATAAACACGTTACACATGGGGAAAACCACGAAAACACCCATGCAGCCAGCCCGTTCACAGGATTCGAACCTCGGACCGAACTACTAGTTTTCAGGGACTTTACCGCTCAGCCGCTGGTGGGCTCGGAAATCTTAAAAGGATTTAGGAAAAAAGAAGGTTTTGAACATTTATTTGTGAACCATAGTATGAATTTTCTGGATAGTGTGTCTGGCTTTCATATAAATAGGATAGTGATTACGTGGCGGCATGAAATTGGTATTTCTGCTGTTTGAAAAAGCATTCATTCATGGTAAGTGCATTTTATTTTATTCTTGTTCTTATTTTGTAGAATGTCATATACATTGTTTTTTTAATATGAATTTCTGTCATTATTGTTGTTTCTTTGAATTGTTTGAAATTTAATTTAGTTATTTTAGTTTATTTTGTTGATTAGTGCATAGTGCCTAGATTGTGCAATTCATGGATGCTTTTTAAAGTTGAAACAGAACTCTGTGTACATGGTATTCTTTGAAATTTATTGTTGTTATATTAATTTATTAAAGCAAGGTGTGCGTAGTTTGTAGATTCTTTCGTTGCCTGGATTGTGCAATTCGTAGATTTTTTTTTAAGTTACAACATATCACTGTGTACATGGATTCTTGTCAAATATTTTTGTTAGAAACTTTATGTTTCTGCTATCTAAATTTTTTGTTCTTGTTTTGAATTTTTAGCTTAAATTGTGTGTTCAAAACGTGGTTTTCGCATGTGCGAAAACTGCATTTTTGAAGACATTTTAGACTTAAAGTTTGAAATGTAGACAAAAAATTTAGATAGTAATATGGCACCATGGAGTTTTTCACCAAAAATGTTTGGTGAGAAATTTGGCGACTTGAGGGTGCATATAAGAGTAGTTCCAAATATTTTCTATATTACACTTATTAAATTATATGCACAGCATACTAAATATTATCATTTTTTTATCCCTACATATTAATTGGAATTCACACCTTGTATAGGAACAAAACTTTACAGCTGTACATACATATTGGTACATGACAAGAAGGCAGAAGTGGAACAATAAAAATACAGAACTGTACCATTAATATTTTTTAAATTCTTTCAGCATGCATCTGATTTCCTTAAAAATATTACAATATTCATTACTTTCCAACACAATTGCATAAAAATTATTCATGGTGTGCATGTCATTCGCTTTGTTTTCGAGCATGAGTATGCATGTGTTTCTTTAAAGTACTTTTCTCTCTAAATGACTTGTTACAGATACTACATTCATGTGGTTTTACACCTGTGTGAGTAACCATATGTTTATTCAAACCATTCTGAAATGCAAATGTCTTGCAACACACAGTACATTCATATGGTTTTTCACCTGAGTGAACACGCATATGTTTCGTCAAATCACCCTTATGCAGAAATGACTTGCTACACTGACTGCAATTGTGTGGCCTCTTTCCAGTATGAATATATTTATGTATGTTTAAGTTAGCTCTCCGTGAAAAAGACTTGCAACATACATCACATTCATATGGCTTTTCAGCAGCATGGACAAGCATATGATAATTTAAGGCAATTTGGCATTGATACTGTTTGTCACATACATTACACATACTTGATTTATCACCTATATTGGTATCTGTTTGTGTTAAGAAACTTTGAAATGCAAATGGTTTGCAATACACATCACATACATGTGCTTTCTCAATATTATGTATAAATAAATGTTTGTCCAAGTCACATTTGTCTGCAAATGATTTGTCACAGATATTGCATTTATGTGGTTTCTGACCAGTGTGTACTGAACTATGTCTGTCCAACTGGTTTTTTCGTGCAAATGACTTGTAACATGTTTCACACTGATACGGTTTCTCACCAGTGTGAATACGCATGTGTTTATTTAGGTAACCTACATGTGTAAATGACTTGCAACATATTTGACATTTATGTGGTTTCTCACCTGTATGTGTTAACATATGATGCTTTACATCATGTTTGCGAGCAAATGCCTTGTTACAAACCTCACATGTATATGGCTTTTCACCAGTATGAATAACATGATGCTCCTTTAATTTACTCATTCTTCTAAATGATTTGTTGCATACATCACAGGTATGCAGTTTCTCATCTATGTGAATAAGTATATGATTCTTTAAGTCATATTTAAATGCAAATGTCTTGCCACATATATGACATGCATGTGGTTTTTCACCTCTGTGATTATGCATATGCCTGTTAAAAGCAGTCCTGCAAATAAAGGATTTGCCACATATATCACATTTATGAGGTTTTACAGCTGTGCGAGTCCCCTTAGTAAACTTCTTTGGTACATCAATTTCATTCCATTCATCTGCTGTAAACACACTCATTTTGAAAAGAAATACAAGCAAATCTTATAGTCACGTATAATTTCATTATAATATACACTAGTCCCACTTTAATCTAGGATAAATTCCTTCAACTAAACATTTCCAATTTTTTAACTAAAAATTGTTCTAAAGACCAGTCTCATTAATAATTTAATATTATTTACAATCAGATAAAGTCATAAATGACATATTAAAAAGAAGATGCACTTCTGTCTTCAGTTAAATTTTAGCACGAACTCACTTTAAAAAGTGCTGTATAAATATTTTTCTACTATACCTAACAGAACAAATATTTATTATTACTTTTCAATGCATTTCAATTTCCTTACTTACATGCAAGACAATCTTTATTTTAAATTTCTGTATAAATGTATTTTAGCACATAGTTATTAGAGATTCTTCCATTTCATGTCAGCATACACTGTTCTGTACTTGCATGAATAATTAAGCTACTCTCCATATTTTTAATTATTATTTTTTCAATTTAAAATTTTTGCTTTTTAGAAGAGGACAAAAAAAGTTACGAATGTTGTCTTTAGAACAATTCTTACAACAGGTATTCTTTAAATGATTTCTTAAACATTTTTCGCTCGTTTGTCAGTGCAATTTACAAATGCGTTTATAAAAGTATTCAGAATTAAAGAAATACTCTTTCGACATACTTCTAAATTGCGACACACGGCTTCACTTAGGGAATTCGTTGTTGACAGGTTATCTTCACGAGAAAAAAGGGGGAAAAAATGGGAGGAGTTACGAGATTCTCTGGGTTGCATGAAGATCTACTAATAACTTTCTCGCCAAGTAATTTGGCGTCATTGGCTCATTCTTATTTCTGGAACTGTGGTTGAAGAGTGGTATGATTTTGATCCGTAAGTATGCTAAAATTCTTCCATAAATTTTTAATACCTTGTTTTCCAAATTTACACATTTTGCTTGATTAATTTGAAGTTGTTTGTTTTTAGATGTGCGCAATGGCAAATTTCAGGTTATTCGTCAAATAACCAAGGTTTCTATTTCTCTGGTAAGTGTTTGCTTTATATCTTATATTTATTATTAAATATGAAAAGTAATTTTTGCATGCGTATATTTTTTCATGCTCATTTTCTGTTTTATGTGCTGGTAGATTTCTGGCCGATTACCGTGTTTTTAGATAAATGCGCCATTTTCATTTAGGTCGTGTAGAGATTACTGTTTCCATTTTTTTTTAAGTAACCACGAAAATTCTAACACATGTAAAAGCTTTACTAGTAAACTTTTGATTGAGGATATTTTCAAGTAAATGTGCCATTTTTACTGAATTTGTGTAGAAGTTGCTCTTCGTTATGCCTTTTTTTTTTGAGCCAATATGTTAATTAGTTGTATTCTTTTAATGTGTTGTTTTGCAGATTAATGCAGTTTATTTGACAGATGTGTAATGCTGTTTGTTGAAAAATGCATTAGAACCAATGATGGTAAGATCTTGGCCTAGCAAATTGGTAAATATTACCTGCTCTTAATTACTGAATC